CTATATTGAAGCTTCCAATTTGTACTATAAATAATAAATAAACAACACTCAATTATTGCTTCTAAATTATTCTTGAAAAAACTTTAATTTAATTTTTTTTAACATGCGTCTTTATTTCTGTCGATGACGCAATCTGTGCGTACCTGATTGATTCAAGATCACGTGACGAAAACGATCCCGTCTTTTGACTGCACCGTATGCCAAGGGTTTATGACGAGAGTAGCGTATCATAAACCCTTGGCTAGCAAAGATGATGTACTACTTACATAATATGGTACGTTCTATATATCCATATAAACTCTAATTATATTTCTTTTTCTAGACAATTATTTCAGGCACTTAAACAAGCCTTTCTTTTAACATCTTGCAACATTCTGAGATTTATCAGTGAAGTTGATTTTCGTATCTAAGTATCAATTAGTAACAGACTGGAATGAATTCAAGGACGGTCTTTTTTAATGTCTATACTTGTGTTGTACATAATTCGAAAGGAAGGGCAGTTTCTGGCTGTATACAGACATGTAGAACATGTGGTTGATGTGTTTTCAACGAATCCACTCAAGTAGTAAAACTTATTTCTCGGAATACACGTGTTGTACTCTATAAATTAAAGTTGGGCGTGTAGTGTGCAGGATATGGCGATAAATGCTAAAACTTTTATTAATCAACGTTCTTAGCAATGGACAAAAATAGGGATGATGAAATGGTAAGCAAACGGTGTAATATTCGAAGTAGGGAACTAGGATTATATAGTTTATGTTAATATTTGTCTCAGGTGTGTTGCCGATTCTTAATGAAGACTGAATAAAAACAGAATAAAAACCTTTTTTTTTCTCTCGGACTCTTGAATTATTAATCATTGAAAAAGCAGAAATATTATGAGCAATTGTTTTCCGTATTCCTTTTTAACTAGCACAACAATGCCGTAGATTTGTTTTTCCTCTCAACATGTTTTGCATGGTAGTGAAGATCATACATACACAGGTAAAGAATGGTGAAAAGCACCAGGCGTCCGCAAAAATTCTGAAGCATTTTAATTTATTTCAACAATAGTCAAAATGCTTTTGAGGGTTTAACGTATGACGGGTTTGACGCATTTTTAATCCAAAGAAGAAAAGTGTAAATTGTTTATTTCAAAAACATATCATTTACTATTGAGTGACATATATTGTATATCAACACATATGTTACTACAAATACATGTACACTATAAATCATATATTTGAAAATCAGAGATTACAGGATAGCATTTATGGAAGATCTGGAGACAACTCTACATGAAAACTTAGCATGTGGCATTCAAATTGACCAAATAAATATCTTTTTACTATTGTTCGCGGACGATCTAGCTATAATAAGCGAAACACTCAATGGGTTACAAAACCACCTTAACAGTCTATACACATATTGTCAAAAGTGGGGTCTTTGTGTTAATGTAGATAAAACAAAAGTAATGATTTTTCAAAAAGGGCAGACAAAAAAAGGATATAGATTTACTTATAGTGGTAATACACTTGAAATTGTAGACAGTTTTGCATATCTTGGATTGTTGTTTTCGTCAAATGGACTTTTTAACAAACATGTAAAAAAAAAACAGCAGAAAAAACACTACAATTAAATAATGCATTCATGAGTAATGTTCAAAAATTGTCTCTAGACTGTAAAACAGTGTGTGAACTTTTTAACGTTGCATGTGTTTCAAAAATGAATTATGGGGCAGAAGTGTGGGGATTCATACCAGCAAAAGAATTAGAAAGAATACAATTAAAATTTGGTAAAAGACTACTGGGAGTTAAAACTTCAACATGCACCCCGACTGTTTATGGTGAATTAGGAAGAAAACCGTTAATACTAACTAGAACATTTCACATTATTAAATATTGGTTTAAAATTCTCAGATCAGAAAACTGTCTAATAAGATCAATTTATAATTATGATTTAAAGAATATGGCTACAAATTGGATTATTTTTGTGAGAGAGACACTTTTGTCTCATGGCTTTGGAGATGTGTGGTATTTCCCTGAATCTGTAAATGAAAATGTTTTTTATAGGTACTTTGGACAAAGACAAACTGATTGTTTTTTCCAAAAACTTAGAGTAGACATAGAAAACGCTCATCCTCTAAAATTGTTTAAATATCTAAACCCGTCTATACAACAGGCTGAATATCTCAATTGTATATATTATGAAAAACACAGAAAAGCATTAACTAGACTCAGATTATCTTCTCATTGTCTACGCATTGAATCTGGTAGATATGATAAAAAATGTCCAACAAGTGAAAGGAAATGCATATTTTGTACATCAAACGAAATAGAAGACGAATATCATTTTGTTTTAATATGTAACTTTTATACTGAGTTAAGAGAAAAATATATTAAAAAATATTTTTATGCAAGACCTAGTATGGCATAATTTATTGAATTACTTAATTCCAATTCTGAGAGTATACTTAAAAAACTTGGGAAATTTGTGTATGAATGTTTTAAAAAGAGGGAAAACGCTACCATTCAGTAGCATTGATAATACAAAAGACACATGTATCGCTACTTATTTTTTTCTTTCTGTTTTATATATTTGTAATACCACCTGTGTGACACCTGTTTACCAATGTATATATATAAAGTAATGTTATATGTGGCAATATATGTAATATATAAGCCAATAAAGATACTACTACTATCAAAAGATGAATACAATATATACAATGATTGTACGCATGCGCGGGAATAATGGTTGGTATTTTTTCAGTGATGTGAAAATGTGAATATTTGTGAATATTATATTTTATTAATTTCTGAAGTCTAAGCAGTGAGTAATTGTAATTGTCTGAAATTGTGAACAATTAAAGACAATGAGTATGAATATGAGTAATCCATTGAATTGAATTGAAATATATTTATACTAAAATGTATATTTACATATTATCTCTGCGGATTTTAATTTCATTTACATATTACGCAGTTACAAACATGATTTCAATCTTCAATTTGAAAAACTTGTAAACGCAGAATGAATTTGTGATTAAATATTATCACCAGAAGATTTTATCTTTCAGTGTTGCACCAAATTTTCTATTCTAATAAAAATTTGTGGGAAGACAGTATAGCTACATGTACATTTAGAGTTTAAATCTGATCGGGAAACTCGATGACCATCTCGAAAGAAAATAATTCAACACGCAAAAATATTTTCTTGCGATTTCTTGTATAGTACTGTAAGTGAAATTGATTGATCTTTTTGAAATACGAAGATAATGTATAATGCTTGAAAACAAAAGGCATGAGACAATGCTGAATTTCATATCCCAACGGGGTTCACATTCAGGACTCACAAACCTTTTGACAACTGTGCTCGACCTAGCGCTATCGCACTGTCAAAATATTGCTTAGAATTCTTTTAAATTAAAATAATTCTGACGAATTCCAAATCAATATGCTTAGCGCTTCCAAGTACTTTCAGTACTTTGATTTAAATAGGTACATGAATGCTGGGAAGTGCAAAGATGCTGAAGGTAGATCGGATGAGAACGATTCTATAGGTTATGTGAAGAAGGCACCGTTGAAAGTTACTAATAAATCCTTGCAAAAATGTTTTATGACATTTCGTTTCCAATAATTAAAGTAGAATAGAAACAAACAACCAGTCTCTTTATCATTATGAATATTGATTAGATGTTAAGAGAAGTAACTCAAAATTAAAGAATAGTGCTGGTATTTCTGTGTTTTGTTTCAATATTTGTATTTTCAGCCAAAGTATATGCATGTACACGGAAAAAAAGGTTTCAACAATTTATTTTATGTATAAACCTTATGAAATAAAACGGTTTTGGAGAAAACGTATGGTTAAAAATAATATAGGCCCATTTTATCAACATTTTAACCTGTTAAACCTGTTCAAAAAATCTTGAAGAATTCTATTACGAAAGCCAGAAACGTTGCCATTGTCCTTAAACCTCTCTACACAGGTTGATTATAGATAGCTGAGGCATTTAAATCACGTGACATGGTAACAGGTGTTTAGAATGAAGACAAGGAAGTAAATTGTTATGTATAGGTTTACTGGGGGGCCATATTGGATTTAAAGGTGAGAAAGAATCATATTTAGAAAATTTTAACATGTTGCAAGACATTTCCAGATGTCATTAATGGTCTCAAGTCTTGTACATGTATAATGCATTAGCTGAAATTCATGAAAGAGCAACTATAGATCATATTATATATGGAGGATCTCCCATGGTTTGTGGTTTGATATGATTTTTATCCAACGAGTTGTGTGTTTTCTATCCCCGAGCCTTGGCGAGGGGATAGAAAACACACAACGAGTTGGATAAAAATCATATCAAACCACAAACCATGGGAGATTCTTTTCATCACATATTTTTGCATGTTCACTATAAATGTGTATTTTGTCCTTATTTCTAATTCAAAGTTCCTTTTCGGTTTTCGGGACCAAATAACGTAATAAATAATATTACGCTGTATGAAATACTTCGTACAAAAATAGAAGAAAATATTTCAGAGCTTATTTTTTTTTAAATTCATGAATGAAAACGTTAAAATATGTCAAATAATGTGAAATTTGACGAATTAAGTCATTATCTCCATCATACACATGTATTTGTTTATTTACATTACATCACGCGGCGTAGGTATACATAGTGTTGATACGAAAACGATATCACATGAGCTATATCAACGGGATAAAGGGGAAAATATGTGATAAAAATTGATTCGACTTTATAGTTTTTAAATTCTCTTCCAATTGAATTTGTAACATAAAAAATGTTTACACGACATTCCAAAACTACAAGTACATGTAGATCCTTCCTGTTTTTTCTAAACTGACTTTGTCTTACAAATTCACTTACAAAACATAACTCTTACCAGGTACATATATAATGTATTTGTTTAAAATTATGTGCAATTTCTGAAGTCATTGACCATGCCTCCACATATTTTATACAGGGTCATCTAAATTGTTTTAACAAAGCCCCAGTGATGGACCCCCTGGACAGAGCTCAAGTACTCCTTCTCTGTGACCTGTGTCAAAGGGCTGCATTGCAGAGTCATTGTGAACTTTGTCAAATTAACCTATGTAAGACTTGTGTAGGGGAGCATCTCTCTGATTTATCTAAAAGACACAATGTTGTACCATACAATCAGAGAAAATCTACTCATAACGTGAACTACCCAAAATGTCCAAACCACACCCAGAAACACTGTGAACTTTATTGTGAGAAATGCGACATTCCTGTCTGTTCTACCTGCATCTCCTCTGATAAACATGATGGGCATAAATTTACAGATATCTTACAGAAACCCAGCTTCATTAAAGAAATTTTAAACAAGGAATTGAAAGAACTAGAAAAAGCAATATATCCTACCTATGAAGAAATTGCATCAGATTTAAATTCTGAAAAACTTATCTTGGAAAAACATTATGAGAAACTGACAACAGTTGTCATCAAACATGGAGAAGACTGGCATAAAGGAATTAACATCATTGTCAACAAACAGAAATCTGAAATTGATGAGATAAAAACTAAACATCTGGCTGCTCTAAATCATCAGGAAACTGAAATCAAACAAATTACTTCTGAAATAAAACAGAGCATACAAGATCTGAAGAAAAAACTGGACTCCAGTGATGCCTCTATAACCTTGGCATACAAATCCAGGAATGCTGAATTCAGAACTTTACCTCCTAAATTAAATTCTTCATTACCATGTTTCTGTCCTCAACAGATCAACATAGAACAGCTCCATCAAATGTTCGGTTCACTGTCAGCATTATCCATTACAACAGATGAATATGGCTACATAATGAAGACACCAGAAGCTGTATCTTGTCTTTCAGTCAAACCACAGCTTGATGCACCAGAGATCATCACTACCATCAGCACTGGGTATACTCCGCTATATAGTCTTAGCTGTCTCAGTGATGAAGAAATCTGGACACGTGGAGGAGACAAAATCATTAAACTCTACAACCTCCAGGGTAAACTACTGAAGTCAATTCAAACCAAGTCAGGGAACATACCTCGTGACATAGCAGTGACAAGGAGAGGAGATCTAGTTTATACTGACCCTGATACAAGAACTGTAAACATAGTGAAGAATGACCAGATACAGGAAGTGATTAGACCACTGGGTTGGAAACCTCACTATGTCTGTAGTACCTCCTCTGGTGACCTCCTGGTTGTCATGGTCAGTGATGATTATAAACAATCAAAGGTTGTCCGTTACTCTGGATCCACAGAGAAACAAACCATTCAGTTTGATAGTGAAGGTAAACCTCTTTATTCAACTGGCGGCCTTAAATACATCAGTGAAAAAAGGAACCTGGATATTTGTGTGGCTGACTGGGAAGCCCGTGCAATAGTGGTGGTTAATCAGGCAGGAAAACTCCGATTTAGATACATTGGTCGCTCTACTATCAAGGGACCATTAAGACCATACGGCATCACAACAGACAGCCGGAGTCAGATCTTGACAACAGACTTGAACATTCACCGTATCTACATCCTTCATCAAGACGGACAGTTCCTCCGTTACATTGATAACTATGATCTACAGTTTCCATATGGTTTATGTGTAGACATCAGAAACAACCTCTTTGTGGCTGAGTGGCACAGTGGTAAAGTGAAGAAAATCAAGTATATGTAAACAAAGTGTTTTAAATAATGACATGTTTTTCGTAGATTAACAGTAGTCAAAATCACAAGATGTTGATTAATTCAGTTTCATTTCCTAGTGCTCATGTGCTGTGTGAAAATATTTTAGATAATAATATTATCAAAAAGGTATAATATATAATTAAATGTCATAAATAACAATTGTTTCATTATTCTTCCTGACTGCACAATAATGAAAAGTAACATTGGAAGAAACCTTCAATATCTCAAAATGAATGCCATGTTTAATTGCGAGTTTAAATAAAGTAAAGATTTATTATGTACTTTTACATTTTTTTTTTCAAGTTGACGCCCTGTCATGTACTGCACACTAAACAGTTGTGATTATACTGTACTTTTCATGCAGCTAGAATAATATGTCCTTAAATCTTCAATAAATCTAAATCCTTTTGATATACTGTAGTTATATTTAATTTATTTTAATTGTGTTTTAATTGACCAAGGTAATTTAAACACGTCATTAGCATGTTTTTCATGGGCTGATTGGACGCAAGCTTAAATTAACAGGGCGTGACTGTATATGTAGTATGTAATACAAAACAAAACGAGAAAGCTGATTCAGAAAAAAAAATTGTAGTTTTTTCATCTCAATTTAATTTACATTCATCTTTAGATACACAGTCTAAAGTTACTTTAACAGATGTTAATAGATCAAGTCCCTTGCGATATCAGCTAAAATACTAGTAGTCAACTGCCAGTTGAACTAAATATTAAATCCTCTCTAGACGTACAGTGTATTTATCTCCGAATGTGTTTTTGAAAGTCGAATCATCAATCATTTCACTATAGCTAGGGAGCCACTTGTGATATATTGGAGTTTTATGAAGAGACTTACTTTTACATTCGACAGCTTACTTGGACATTTAAACCTGCAAAAATTATTATTGATGGTAAAATACACAAACATTGATCTTAATATTCAACAAAAAGATAATAACGGGCTATTTCAAAGATTATATTACGTTGTCTAGGACGAAAACGGCAATATTTCTACCCTCAACACCCTCCCTTCAAGTCTTAACTAACTTCTGCAGAGTTTTCCCACCGAAATGTGTTTTCTTCTTTATTCAGTTATAATTTCATTTCTTGAATTATTTAGAATAAAAGGATATATTAATTCTCGTGAATAAAGTATCCAATGTCTTTGTCCCAGATAAAATTACATATTGTAAATATACTTTATATCAATGTATTGGCGCGGGACAAACAGCTAGTCATCACAAGTGGCTCCCTAGCTATAGTGAAATGATTGTTTAATAAATTATTTCCAAGCCCCAAATACAATAACTTTCACCTCGTGAGATGCTTTCTATTTTCTTTTTTCAATTCCGTACCTCCGTACCTAACGCAGGGATTGGAGCACGTGGATTGGCGGAATCAAAGTATGTAAATATAAGGAATAACTGTCTTATTTTTAAATTTCATGACGATGATCAATCGATTGAGATGCGTGATAATTTTATGCATAAACTCATTATGCAAATTATCACGCAAGCCAATCGATTGATCACATTATGAAATCGAAAAATTAGACAGTTATTTCTTAATTAACTTATCAGCTCCCCGAGTTGAGCCTCAATAGTCTTCTCACTCTTCTTATGAGGGCCTCCACAAAGCTGTAGTGGGTCCTGGACTTACAATATTCATAAACAAGCAAACAAAGATCAAGGATTAATAAAAATATAATATCACAGTTAAATGATTAAGTATGGTAGGTTTTAAGGGGGATGCAACTTTAGTGCAGTACATGGGAACAAAATGTAAACATTTATTCAAATGGCTGAAATACATTATATTTTGATCAAATTTTAAGTCCTTATGATAAAGATACAATAAATATGCATAACTGAATGCATATTTTGCATATATAATCTATCTTTTTGCAGAAAAATGCTTTTGATATGCTCCTTAGAACTGCGCAGCTACAGAAGTCAGCAGAGCCTTAAAAAAGATAGACATTGCAAATGCAATGAACCTTTCTCTGCAAACATTGTGCTTGCTTCTGCATTTCAAAGAAACAACTCAATATATATTACGGTGTATCAAACTTCGTATCTTCAATGAGTGAGAGCTTAAAGCCGCTTAACCCGAAACAGGCACATACTATCTTGTACAATAAAAGTACGTCATTACATAGATAGTATATGAAAATAAATTATAAAATTGATTTAATAGTTTATTACCTCAATCCTTACATGGAAAACGCAGATCAAAAACCTTATTGACAAACAGTAGTTCCTGACGGAAGTTAAGATCTGTAGTGAAGTCAATTTTGAATAAAATAAGTTTATCAGTTATATCTAATAATGAAGGTAATTCAAACCCGTATTTTTACTCTATTAGCAGAAGCCTTAGTCATAATACATCTTTTCAAAATTAAGAAATTATTTCAATGTAATCCATAGTAATTTTTATATTAATATCCATATATAAAGAATAAAGGAAAATCAGATATCTTAAATGATTTTTTAAAGGAGCTAAATATTGTCGATGTTAAGGTAATATATGTACTTTGTTGTGAAAAAAATGCTCGGGTTTGTTCTTCATGAGATTAACATGTAAACGATAAATTTAATTTTCGAAGGTGATTTCACGCGATATCACCAATGATCAACATTGGATTATTTTTCTGTGTGACCTAACAAAAATTATTTTTTTAACTTTTGAATGTTGATATCTTAGAAAAGAAAAAGACTTTGGGGATATAATTTGATAAAAGTTGAAACAATTTATGGACAATTATTTTTCAAGAAAAAAAAAACAAATATATATTTTTAGCGATTAGAATCGGACCAAGCGGCTTTAATATTATAACGTTGTCAACATAATGATACATGATGTGTTTTAATGTCCAAACATTACTCCATACAATGTGTGGGTCATTGTTAACAATCTAGCTATTCAAGTGAGGTGCCTGAAGGAAATCTTATAGCTGCCCATTTTTTCTTTCTAACTGCTTAACAAAATAGACATATGTACCAACTTTTTGAATGTAATACATGTAATTACAATTTGTTTTCATGCACCGCATATAGTTTCATATTTTCAAATTAAATGCTAAGCATCCTCCTTGCTGTGCCCCATTTGAAAATAATTTCTATCGCCACAAAAAAGAGACCCGCCGTAAACACAATGCCAACCACGTGCTCAGTGGAATGATATTAACGTGGAAACTTGAGCTAAAAAAGATCAGTTTTTCCAATTTGCTGGATTGTGGTTAAAATCGCGTTTTTTCAATAATCAGACGATGCGGTGCAACAAAAAAGTAGTAAGTTATATAATCTAATGATTATTACTTAGTAATTTCTTATCTTGATGTTATTATGGTCGCATAAATTTATTCTGAAATCAATGTCATTCGAACTCTGTGTGACAGAGGAATGGCGGACGAAATAAATACATGGCCTCAGGAAGACCCCCATTTGAAAAAGTCAATATTCAAGAATTATGGATAATGACAAGAAAAAAAGCGAAACAAATGGTTGTAGTCATATCATCAATGAATCGAACTGACATCATTTTAAATGCATTTTTCATCTCGTGAATGCTGTAGCTGCGCAGTTTTAACGTGATTAATTTCCTCCTAATTAAAACAAAATAAACTTAATTAAGTACTAATTTTGATCTCTAACAGTAGGTAAACTAACTTTGCGCTTGTTTAGTAAAGCATTCTTGGTATATCTTATTTTACACCAGACTTGATCCAATATGGTTTGTACATCCCCCTCAACCCCGCTTGAAAAACATGGGCGGGAGGCGTGTTGAGGTTATAGTTATGGGTGTGTCTATCTCCCCGCCTCTCTGATTCTTTGCGAATCAGTTTTTGGAGTTCTAATCTCTTATCCACAACTCCAAGAACCATTGCATGATGTGAGCCTCTTATTTTAATTTTTGATCAGGTCTCCTCTCAAAGCATAACATGGAATTGACCATTACATTCAAATGGGAAGCAGGGGGTTATTATCATCGGAGTAAATATAAGGACACAACGTTTTCTGTTCATAACTACTACAGTGGAGTCGCCAATTCCGGGTCGTCTCCAATTCCGGGTCACTCATTGTATTTTATGTCATATTGTTAAAATTTATGCATAAAAAATATATGAATACGCTGGTCATGAAGAACTGGTCTTTCTGTATGTGATTAATTACAAAATTTTAAATATTAACTATGAGAGAGCATCCGACAATCGAAATTTTGAAACGCACGCATTTTCAGACTTGGATATTTCTGCTGCGGTGACGGGCTACTTTCGTTTTTGATCGCTGCAGAAAGGCTGATTTAAAAGTTCTATATAAATAATAAGAGCTCGAAAGTATGGCAAATGCATTTAGTTTTAACTCTGAAATCAATCATAATGATCGCTGCTCAAATAAAATTATAATGATTATTAATTCAAACTGTAGTAGTTTCTCCAATTGCGGGTCACGTAATCTCGTGGCATGAACATGTCAAAATTCTATGTACATAACCAATCGACAACCATGATATACCTTGATTATCAAATGTATTCTAACTATTAAATGTTTTTCCTAAAGATTAAAATCGAGTTAACCCTTCAAATGCATTTTTTAATAAATTAAGTTAATTGATCCTAATACATTTTTCTAAAGTCTGCATACTGCAATTTGTTTTGTTCTAACTGTTTTAAAAATAATTGAAACATATTTCTGTGGTTGTTTTACATTTTTTCCAAGCTGCATGAATTGTTTTTTGTTTCAACATTATAAAAATCGTGTTTTGAAACGTTCCGTGAATTTTACAAATAAAGTCACGTGACCCGGAAATGGAGATAATGATTCGTAACTGGGGAAGCTAGGCTTTGCTGAAATATCCCCTGTTAATATTGTTCCCGTGTATCTACTTTGAAAACGAAAAAATATTTGGATGACTCACTTTTTGTTCTCTCAATACATATATTGCATAAAATATAAATTAAACAGTTTTGCAA